AAAGTAATTTCATTTTGCTTGAATAAGCTCCACATTCCGCGGAGATAAAAATTTATGCAAGGTATTTGAAGCATTCAATGCAGTTTCATGCCCATCCAAATAATTATATACTTCTTGGAGCTTGGCCAACAAGCTGAAATTTACCGAAAATTACAATCCATGGTTTTTGTTATGGTCAAGTTTCGCTATTTTCCTAAATTTATAAACCAATCCCTCGAAAAAATGCAAACCTAAGGATAGATCGAGCTTGAAACTACACTAAACAAAACAATTTATATTTCCTTTTCATAACTCCTATAATTTTTCTATGGAATTTCTACCAAATCAACAATATCATAGCATAGTTCCCTGAAAACTGGGGCCTTCAAAAAACCAAATTACTTGCGAGACTACCCATACTTAGGATTTTCCTGAACAATAAAACGCAGTTTGGGTTGCTGGTCGATTCTAACGCAGCGCTTTCTCTCTTCAAAAAAATGTGCTCCAAAAAAATTTGTCAGTTTGACGAAAAAATCAACTTATTAGCTAAAAATGCTCAAAGAAAAAAACTTACAAGGCACCGAACGTTGAAGTTTGTGAATTACCATCTGGATAATTATCAGATAAACATAGCGTATCTGCGAATAGGGTTTCTCCATCATAGAAGTAGTTTAGCTCCAGCTAAAAATATTCAAGTGAAAGCAACTATGGTTATAACCTAATCATCACTCAAAATTATGTGATCTTGGTTAACGTATTGTTGCTTTTTTTTGTACAGATTTTGGGGTAACATGATACAGGTAACATATGGTAATAAGTGTATATTGTAAATAAATGATTTAACGAATAGAAATAGTATGCAATAAATTGAATTTCTTCAACTCTTCACATAATAATAGAGCAAGTGAAATTTTATACGGTTCTGACGTAAGTGATGCCGAACGAAAAAGAAAACAAGAAGACAAATACCTAACTATTTTTCAAAGCCTAAGTAATCGAAAAGACTGGCAAATCTCATCAAATCTTTTTTTATCTGTTGACATTGTGGGGGAGTGCTTGTCTATTACTCGCGAATAGGTTTCTCACGTCATCCATCATGTAAAAAAATGTAAACGCGCAGCAGTCAGTTCAAAGTAACCTTCGCACTTTACGTCACTTATCATCATGGTGACGTATAACTGAGGTGAATAACCAAATAGGAACCTCCTCTAGAGCACATTCAGGAACTAGAGACTTTTATTAGAAACTAGCGTCATTTTCAAGCAGACGCCGCAGCTATTTTTGTCCTTCAAATTATTTGCAATTTCGAAATTATTACTACAAAGGTTGTCCGATTACAACTTGATTGGACATTTTGATGTTTCCTATATGTTATTTTAGGAGTGAACACAAGGGAAGATATGCTGCCAAAACTGTTATTTTGGACCTATTAGCAAGGAATAGGATGTCTAGAAGTAATATACAGTTTAAAGAACATTATTGACCTATGAGTAATTCTTAGATTGTAATTTCATTGAAACATTTCTGAATCATACAGGGTGTCCCAAAAAATGTACCGAACGTTTGATCTTCAATAACTTCCTTATATGGAAAGCTTTTGCGGATCTTTAAGTGTCATACGGTGGCTAACTTCAACTTAGATTGTAGTATAAAACGAATCGCCGATTTCTCTTAATCAGTTTAGGATTACGATAGGAATTTTCGACTCATTTTAGGCTTTTGATAGACGAAATTTCATTAAAAAGCCAAAAATTCAACGTTACAGTGCCCAGAACGTACAGACCGTAAGATAAGAAGCCGGCGAGTGCGGTAGCGAAAAACTTTGCAATTAGATGCGGCATCCCCGAAAATCTTGGTTTGACTCTGAATCTTAGTTTGTTTTTGGAATTTAGAAGCAATTTTTGTTTATTAAAAGCCGAGAATTAGTCGAAAATTTCTACCTAATGCTACATTAACTTAAGGAAAATGGTAATTCGCTCTACATATGCTGTAAATCTGAGTTGAAGCTAGCCCTACCATTTGGCACCCAAAGATGCGC